AAAAGGAGGTTCTATAGTTAAACGCATATATTGTAACGTCCATTACTTTTATTGTAATGTCCATGTCACATCAATGCCGGTAGTTGTTGGGAGCACTAAGCTAAAAGTTGTTGACGAGTATGTTTACCTGGGAAAAATAGTCCGACTAGTTAAGTAAAAATTCAATCGACAGGTTAATCGACGGATTCAATTCGGCTGGGCAGCGTTCGGTAAATTACGACACACCTTCGTCAGCTATACCTCAACACTTGAAAACGAGATGGTACAATCAGTGAGTGTTGCCAGTGATGACTTATGGATCGGCAATGTGGTCCTTAATTGCTGGCCGTATGAGGAAGCTCAAGGTAGCTCAACAAGCTATAAAGAGGACTACGATCGAGGCTTCTCGGCGTGATAAAATAATAAATGAGAATATCCGCAGGAGAACCAGAGTGACCAACATAGCCCAACGGATTAGTAAGCTGAAGTGGCAATGGGTCGGCCATATAGCTCGAAGAATCGACAACTGATTGGGGACAAAGGTTCTCGAGTGGCAGCCTCGTACCAGTAGGCTAAGTGTACGGCGATCCCCACTAGATAGAGTGACGATAAAGGTGACTCGAGACCGTGCTTTGTGGCATTCTTTGGGAAACGTCTATATGCAGCAGTGGACTTGTGAAGGGCTGTAATGATGTCGATGATGATATTTAGATGAAAGTTCTTTTTTGTATGCATGTGATTAAATTATAATTATCTTCCTAATTGTGAACTGATCTTTAAGATTCTTTTTTAATAGATAAGTTAAACTTTAGGGTTGATCCCATATAAATATGAATATGAATTTAAACCTCGAGGGTAGAAATAAAAGTACGAAGTTCCTGAAATGAATAGCTAGATAACATTCTAGTTGTTACCTTAATTTTGTGATATTGCTAAGAGTTAAAATGAAACATATTGCAAACAGTTAAAGCACTTGAAGAACTAAAAAAAGTTATTTCCACAATAGCTTCTGAAAAGGTGTTTTAATTCTTCCAACGGAAATCGAAATCTAAAAGCACTTAGAGCCGTTAGTTCTGAGCCTAATCTTTCTTCAGGAGCCTTGGATTGCCAACCTATCGGACTATGAGGTTTAGAGAGTTGGGAGTGTAACTGTGCTTGCGCGCAGACTCATGCACTATCCTGCTCCTGCTCCTGCGCAATGGCTAATCTCTGTTTAGACTGGCCGCCGTGACCGAATTTCTGTCTAGAGGATATTAATTATTAATTAATGACTGTACATGTTAATATAAATCTGAACTGACAAACATTCTAGAGTCCACCTGATGAGGTGTGGGCCGTGAACACCTGCCGCCAACTTCAAATAAACGAAGCTACGGCTGCGTGGTCACCTCTGAGGACCAAGACGGAATGCTTCACAGCCTGAAGTTGTACCGGACCTCCATGCCTTCGGAACAGAGCTGTACGCGCAATACTGTTTTTGGCCAGATTTATGCTTATATGCTTTCAACTGCACATATTATACATAAATATATATTAAACACAGATATATTACATACAAAATACATAATAAGCGGGTTTTTTCCTTGACATACAGTCCACAGAAAGGAAATTTAGAAATCACACAAAATTGACAGCTCACCAATGACTTCAAAAGGAAGGATAGGCCCATCTAAATATTTTACTCATAACTTCATACAACAAAAAGTATGTCATAACACAAACGTCTAACCAGGGTCAGATTTCGTAGTATAATTATCCTAATTATACTATTATTTCATTGTTTGTAGTATATAGTATCGTAATAATACAAAGCGAAAATATCAAAATTTTACCTAAAGGTTGACTTGTATTATTATTGGGTCCTTTTACATTTTAATATTAACCCTACGATATCGAGAATTTCTGTATTGTACATGAGTACCGCGTTTTTTTAATAAAATTAGAATTAGCTCCCTTTCTGGTCAATTGATGCTCGATCGATACATTTATGTTGCATCCTTGATACAATTATAATGAGGGACTGTCACGATAAACTCTATGCTCCAGAAGCAATCGGTTTGAAAACAGAATTTCAAAATATTTTATGAATCAGATTTTCAGATTCAATTAAGCAGATATGGTTTCTTTTGTACTCTTTCCGTTTTACCATATCCATAAAATCCATAAACACTCACGCCTGTCACCCAGAGGGGTAGGCAGAGACTACAGATTTCCATTTGGCACGATCCTGACACACCTCTCTGGCCTCCTTCACATCCATACACCTACGCATACATGCTCGTCGGTTAAGGGTACTCCCAATTTGGCCCGTTTCCAATAAATCGCCAATTTGGTCGATAAATTTTCGCCTAGGACGTACCTTTCGACTCTGCCATTCACTTCTGCAACATAAATTTTCTTTACTCTATTATTAAAAAGACTTTCTTAATCGTATTTCATCTTTCTTATTACACAATTTCTTACCCTGTCATTCAGATTCAGCCCTAACATACTCCTTAACGACCACATTTCTACTGCGTTTATTCTACTCTCGTGCTTCTTCTGCCACACCCAACTTTCACTACCATACGTTAAAGTAGGGACCAACACAGCATTGTGAATTGCCATACGTGCCTTTTTCGACACGTTTTGACTCTTCACAATAGAGTGCAAGGCCCCATTTACTCTATTTCCCGCTTACCTTCTTCCGTTTTACCCTTATTGAATATTAAATCTGTTAGGTATCAATATTCAAAATTTAACTTACACTAAGTCCTTTAGACAAAAATTAAACAGAAATTAAAAATGAAACCGTCAAAAAACGAAACGTATAGATAAACTAGACACGTGACGTCAAAATCCCGGCACATGGGTAAAAGAAACATTAAACGTCAAACGTGATATAATTTTTTTTTTAAATAGTATAATTTTAATTTCCATGTACAATATTTTTGGGGTCTGAATACAACCCTGGCCTAATCTTGGTAACATAACCAAACTAACTGTAAAATAAAACTTTAAACATGCGTTTATATAATAATTTAATTGTAACAAAATTAACATAAGGTTATTTACCGATGAGACGATATCCCATATATTTTTTAAATCCTTGTATCGTAATTTTTTCATTCTCTTACCACGCAACTAGACATATTTATGACAAATGTGTCCTGCGCGCACACTATTGTATTTGAAAACTGTAATGTTAGGGCCAGTGCACTGGTCCGTTTTAGTTGTTTGGTCGGCCCGGTCCTTACACTAGTAATAAGTATATATTATATAGTCAACAGGCAACATTTTAAAATTCTCCGGCGACAATCTCTACTCTGTGCGAGTATGACCATATACTCTTATGTGTTTGACAAATGACATTGGCAATATAATCGTATGCAACAAATGTTATATTTAATTTAATTTACAGCACAGTTTAACTTGGGCACAGGCCCCGCTCATTTCTGAGTGCGTTTCAGGGCAATGCATGTTGGGAAATATTTTTTTCTTTTATTAGAAACCAAAGGGTTCGACGAAGGTTCGTTAGTATGGTTGCACAATCCAGTCCGCAGCAAAGGGAAATCTCCTAAGCTTCAAGCTAAATGGGACGGCCCGTACCGGATTGTGACCAGGATTAACGACGTAAACTACCGGATACAGAAAGGTGCAAGAGATACTCCTAAAATATTCCGTGGCGTACAGCTTTGCAATGAGTTGCTTCGCTTAGGGCCGTGGAAGTACAAGGTCCAATGTTGGTCCTTGTGACACTTTTTACGTAATCTGTGGACAGTCTGCACAATACAGGGGAAAATCCTATTTTTAAAACATTAACTAAGTACAATCTTACACTACCCGTGCGCGTAATATGCCTAAAATGGGAAAAAAATCCCATGCATTTCTGAAAGCCCGCGTCTACCTTATCGTTACACTACATCATTGTAGCAACCTCTACCTTTATAGACACGCTAAGCTTTCGGGAATTAAGTTGTATTTTTTTTAATTATGTAACGTTCACTTTCAACAACAAAACGAAGACATCATTCACTTTCAATGTATCCATTGGCTTAGTCAATCATCGGTCAGATTATCGGTACTGATTACTTCTGAAGAATTTCGGTAATAATAGTTATGTAATTGCCACGACCATCCGCTTCCTTTCTCAATCTCGTTTGTATAGTTTTTGTTCACTCGATTTGTTACACAATCGTTTTTTTGCATCGATTGAATTGGATTATGCTATAGACTGTTACATTTGATGCGTAAAGAACCACATAGATGATTGGTTATAGTCGCAGACTAACTGAGTGGCCTGTTGCGTTTGAGTTAAACTAATAATTATGAATAGTTGCGTCTAGTTTATGCGGAGAAATATAGCATATTAAAGCAAATAATTCAATTTAAATGTAATGTTCCTTTTTAATAGCCTTTATTAAGAAGTATTATGTGTGACTTTGAGTAATAGGTGAGAAACTATGCGATCAAACAAAAATGCGATGCCTGAAGATTATTGTGTGTTCAGAACAAAAAAAGGAATTCATCGGTGGTTTGGAGAGCCGGAAGAGTGAATGAGGAAAGTATAATAAAGCAAATTTATGCTGCAGAAGCGAGTGACAAAGTCGCGGAACAGAAATTTGACGATTAAATTGGTTATTTGTGTAGATATATGCATGCAAAAGAAGCGAGAAAGTTGTGTCAGAATCGTGCCAGTTGGAAGTCTGTAGTGTCTGCGTACCTGTCTGGGTGACAGAGGGAAAGATTTTATGTTATGTTTATGTTATGTTATGTTTATGTAATGTTATGTTTATGTTGTGTTTATGTTATGTTATATTTATATTGTGTTTATGTAATGTTTATGTTATGTGTAAAAATATATAATTAGTGTCATTTTTTTAAACTTATTATAAGTCAGTAGTTGACTACAATCTCACCTGATGGAAAGTGTTTATGAAGCCCTAAATGGTAGGCATTACCATACGCATTACGGAAGACGATAGACAGAAGATTTTCTCTTCTTTTTTATTAGTTAGTACTTATTCTATGCTGTTACTTACCCTCGCTAATCCTGTAACGGGAAATGTTTCGAACTCCAAAATATTATCTTCTCCCAGACCTCGCTCCATCTGACCAGCGAAAGTTCTGGCTGCCATCACTGTTGCTAAAGACATCCCGTCGCCTATAAACAAAATGCCATTTTTGGCTTTGTTCGTGTTTATCGTCTCCTTGAGCTTGGACTTCAGGGTTGTTGCTGCGGATTTCTTCCAGTAAGAGCCGTGTTTCTCCTCAGGGGGAATATATTCCGGACTCATTACTGTGTCTAATATCTTCTTTGGTTTTTGTGTCACATCATCTATAAACAAAAAAAAAAGAAAAGAAAATGAGTTTAACTTTCTGCGTATACTCATTCAGTTATAATGTGGGTGTCTTCAAGACAAGAGTAGATATACTTTTGTTAGGATAGGTCAGCTTTATCATTTTCAGCTACCACTTACCATAAGATGAGAGGGTAGTCAAAAACTGGATTTAAATAAAAACCTAACCTTTTCTTGGTGTTAGTTACGACGTTTTATAATGCTTGATTTTATAATTTAACATACAAGACATTTTTTCAATAAACACTAATAATTGTCAAAATTGAAGCGAAAGGCATCTTATTTATTGTCCGTCTTGCTGCAAGTCCCACCAAGGTCATGCACGACGCACGAAGCAAAACGACAATAAGTAGGCTTGATGTATGTTAATTTTATTGTACTGTAATTGTATAGCAAGATGGATAATGAATAAGGCGCTTCAGATTGAACAGGTTCGACGTTTTAATCCTATGTGTTATGTAATTTAGGGTAAGGATATCACTAGTTTTTATATCCGAAGTCCTACAGAAGTTATTATTCATCGAATTTGACCTGGAAGGATAGAAAATTTACTAAAATTGTAGTAATCTTTGATTATATACCTGTCTATATAATCAAAGATAGTAGTAGTAGTAGTATATAGTAGATCATGTCTTGAATTACAATATACAACTATATATATAGTAGTATGTTAAATATTGTAATTCAAGACATGATCTATCTGTATGGTAAACATCACTACACAAATATTAAAACATATTACAAATTTTCAGTTATTTAATAAATATGAATTATCTAACACAGCAGCGTACGGGAAATTACGATACATCTCGTCAGGTATACCCCAAAACTTAAAAACGAGATTGTTGTGTATTGTAGTTTGTGTTGCCAGTGATGACTTATGGATCTGAGACGTTGTCCTTCACTGCTGACCATATGAGGAAGTTTAAGTTTTCTCAGGAGGCTATAGAGACGGCTATGCTGGGGCTTCTCTCCGTGATAAACTTTGAAATGAGGATATCCGCAGTAGAACCAGAGTGACCAATATAGTCCAAAGGATTCGTATCTAAGCTAAAGTGGCAATAGGCCGGCCATATAGCTCGAAGAACTGACAACCGATGGGGAAAAAAGATTCTCGATTGGCAGCCTCGTACCGGTAAACGATGTTTAGGGCGACACCCCACTAGAGTGACGAACTAGTTAGACATGCTGGAAGTCGAAGGATGCAGGTGGCTTTAACAAATCCACTGCTGAACATAGGCTTCGCCCAAGGAATGCCACAAAGCGCGGTCCTGACCCACAATACATTATGTGAATATACCTAATAAAACAGTAACCAGAGGTATGCTTACTGTTTGCAACCAGACACAATAATCCAATGATTTTTCATCACATATTCTGAATATTGCTGTGAAAAATGGCTGCGACTCGGGAGACTCATGCTGTAAACTTTTCAGAAGGAAATGATATAAATGGAAATCTCGAATATAAAGTAGAAAAATAAGATTATAATTAAATTATTTACCAATTCATTTAAAAAGCTCTGACCGTATTCAGAGTCTGTGTATGTGTGTGTTTCTGTATATTCAAGACTTGTGTATCAAAGGTATGTAATTAGTCCGACATCGCTTTCATCATTTTTGCTTTTGATATTTGCGGGCGTAAATTAACCACAAACACACACTCACTCACACTTACACACTCACACCTACAGATGAATCTTTTCTGATATAACCAGATATGTCAATATTTGAATTAGAAAAATCGGCCTATTACTACTTACTAAATAGGAAGTTAAAAATCCTGACATTTCATTTCCTAATTTTTTTAAATTAAATAGGACTCTCTTTCTTCATACTGGTGACACAGATTTCTTGTGCATGTCTTGACTCACGTCCGTGCCTGATTCTTGTGTATTTTCATAAATAATTATAATATATAATAATAATTATTATAATAATTTTATAAGAGGGGTAGGCAGAGACTATAGACTTCCATTTGGCACGATCCTGACATACCTCTCTCGTCTTCTCTACATCCATATATATACCTACGCATACATGCTTGTCGGTTAAGGGTACTCTTAATTTGGCCCATTTTCAATATATCGCCAATTTGGTCGACAAACGTTCGCCTAGGGCGTCTTTCCTCATTCATTCTTTTTACATGACCATACCACCGAAGCATTCCTTTCTTAATCCTCGTCACAACATCATCTTGCGTACCACACTCTTCTCTTATCACACAAGATCTCACCCTGTCATTGAGATTCAGCCCTAACATAATCCTTAACGACCGCATTTCTACTACGTATATTCTACTCTCATGCTTCTTCTGCCATACCCAACATTCAGTACCGTACATTAAAGTAGGGACTAACACGGCATTGTGAATTGCCGAACGTGCCGTTTTAGACACATTCTGACTTTCCACAATAGAGTGTAGAGCCCCATTTACATTATTTCCTGCGTTCAATTGTCGTTATATATCTTTATCATATCTCCTATCCCTGCTGAAATGTGTTATAGGGCGCGCCACCGAAGCTCACTGGCAAAATAAATGAATATATTTTAGTGGCTTTTTAGTTTCCTATTCGTTCCTATACCAATTATCCGATTACGATTGAACTTAAAAAAATTGTTGTTTACTCGCCCATGAAGGTTTCTGATAATTAAAAACGAATATTTTTATTGTTTGTATGTTGGTAACATTCATCTGATTACATAAAAACCTTGGTGAGTGATTGTGCGGGCGCCCGGGTACGTTTCTGACAAAGAAAGGCATTGCAATACGTGCCGAACACACCTTGTACTAGGTATTAATTAAGATTAACTTGCCGTTATATATATATATATATATATATATATATACTAACGTAAAATAGCTGCTTAATACTGCTATGTTTCATATGGTCAGTTTAGAGAACTAGATACCCTTTTTATGTTAACGACCACATGGCCCACATCATTTATAACAAATACTAGATTAGACCAAACAATATACTAGATTAGATTAGACCAAAATTCTAGATTAGAAATGGTAAAATCAATAAGTTGATTGGTTGATTGTGATTAGTGTCATGAATAATCGCAATCGAAAAGGCACGTTGTGAAGAATTTTCCTTGTTGAATCAAGGGCCCTTTATTCGACGACAAGACTTAATAAATACTTATAAATTTTTTTGCAAAGTCACCTATTGCTGTTCGTTCGACATCCAGAATCGGCCCTAAGGTAGAGCGAGAGGACCAATTGCTCTGGACGCCAGGTTGCAAGGGACTTTAAATCCAAGTTGGTATTTAATATTTATACTTTAAATTAACTTTAAATTAAAGTATCTTCAGCGGTGAGAAAGCATCTGCATTTGGATTCTTAGTCGGGAATAGATGTGTCTAAAGGCTACAATACCTTTATTTTAATTATAAAATATTTACCCTTGTTTTACTTATTACTTACCTTGTTTTATAGATTATGGGGTCAAACTAGCACACAGTTCACCTAATAGATAAGTAGATGCTGTGGCCTATAGATATCTACATCTATCCTCAATAAAAAATTAAAAGACGGATGCATTGACATTCGTGAGGACTAAGATGGAATGCTCCGTTTTCAGTATAAAGGGTCTCCAGTTCTCTACACTCACCATACACACCAATATAAAACAACATAATATAAGTCCCACAGTAGATCTGAAGTCCTCTCTCATTTCAATTAGTACTCCAGTGCGTTTTACGAACTTTAGATGTCTTTTACTTAGAATAGAATAGAATTAATATTTACTTTTTCATCACGAACAGGCACAGAATTATTGATGACAAGCATGTTAAACTATAGACATATTGAACCCTAGTTTGTGAGAGACTGGTGTCTAATAAATGTATTAAACAATACCTGTTCTATATGTCACCAGGTCCCTCCTCACAGATTGTACATCTTTAAATTACACGTTTGTATAGTATATTAAAAACATCATTATTTTCATTTAATTGTGTGTGTAATATCTTCATTTAATAATTGGTTATAAGAAAATCGAAGTTTAGTTAAAAGTAGGATTAATATAACAAAGCCAATTAATTAATTGATACTCATACATATTTTAGATTACAGTACATGATAATATTGTAATTATATACGAGTATAATGTGTGCGATATTATAGTTGAGGACGTAAGAAACTTTAAGTGGATTCCTACTCGTCTTACGTTTCTTCTACGTACTTTTCTTCACCCTAGCGATAACAAAGAGGTAAATTAGCACTTCAAATTGTAATTAATAATTTAATTGCTGCCATTAATACCGAACCTGAGTTGCTCGCTAGATGTGGCGAACAACAAGCCAGTGAGTTACTGCGGCGCTGTGTTAAGTTTAGCCATGAAGTATAAGGCTCTCACTTCTAGACTTACATTTTTGTCATTGTTATTGTTTTTGTATTCAAAATTAAACGTCACCATAATATAATATGTCGCATTAAATTACGTTATAAATCGTCAACTATCATAAAATTAAAAAAAATATGGCTACTTATATAGCGAGGAAACCAAAGTTCTTGGTTCAATACCGCGGGTAACATGAATAATGATAATAAAATTTTTAGTTATAGTCCCCATTTTATTAAGATACTTAAATTGCAAAATATTATAGTATCAATTTTAAAAGACCTATCAAATGCCAATAAGCAGTTACGATTTTAATAAATAAAGATTTAAATTCTAGCTTGTTCGTCATAATCACGAATTCGTCGTCAAACGAATTATAAATAAGCCACTTTAGTTATTTGGAAGAATTTTAATAATTATATTTCAAAATAGACAGAAGAATATTCTGCCACTCGTATTACTTTTTCAAGGTAATATCGTCACGGACTTTTATCTTAACGGATAAAACGGATATTTATCTTAAACCTACTTGCTTTATTTATGATTATCTGCTATTTTAAACGCGGGAAAAATTATTGGCTTTGTTTTTTAATATTTATGTTATCAAACTATGATTATATACTGAAC